ATTGCCTCCAGGAAAGAATGGAAAGCTGGGAAGAAAAGCCATCCTAAAAGGCCATCCGGTTAGCAACGGACTAGGAAAGGGTTTATGTGTCTAGCTTTTCCAAGTGCTAGAAAGCTGTGTACTCCGACATTGAGCTGAGCACAGCTCAAACTTGTGGGAATACATCTAAATAGTTCATCAGTTTACAGTTTTTAAAAGTGGTAAAGTGAGAATAGACTTGTAGCAGAGATCAGTTAAAAATTCTAACCAAGACCTGATGGAAAGTCCATTTATTCAATTATTCAAGATAATACATACCAAGTGCCCGTTATGTGTCAAACACTGTTCTAGGCCTAGAAATATAGCAATGAACCAAACAAATTCTCAACTCTCATGGAGCTTACGTTCTAGGGGTGTTCACAGAAGTACACTGAAAAAATACGTGATGTCAGACAGTGATAAGCTCTAGGTCATAAATAAAGCTGTAAAAGGATAGTGACAAAGATGCTCTTTTAGTTAGGATAGCCTCTGAGGTGGTGATGTTCAAACAAGACCTGCTGGGGTTTACATGAAGGAGAATGCCCTATGGTTATTTAGCAGAAGGAGTATCCGGCAGAGGCCAGAGCGAGTGCCAGGGCCCCGAAGCAGGATGGCATTTGGCCACTAAGCAAGAGTATAGTGAGTCAGGGGGTGACTTATAAGAGGGGAAATAAGAGCGAGAATCAGGAGTCAGATCATTCTGGTCAATAGCAATGTTTCCAGTCTTTGAGCCCCTCCTAGACTCAAGTCATTACCAAATTTTAAACATCACCCCCTCCCCCAAGGTGGGTTTAATTACTCCCTTTTAATGTTGCCTAAATTTACTCCACTGAATGGTAGAGGTCTCCTGGGATTCTAGAGCTTCCAAGTTCATCAAGGATGATGATCTCCCAAGCTGCTGAGCACTCTCTCTCTCTTTCCATCAATCAGAGCATATTCTTTGAGAAGAAATCTATTTTTAAATGCAATGAGATACTTACTTATCAGCTTCATTATTTTTGAATATTTTCCTTAACCTATTCTTATACTTGGGCAAGGTTGGTACCTCAGCCTCAACATGCAACCTGCAATGTTCTTCTTTATTTCAAAAAGTGGTAAAAGTAAATTAGAACACAGCTGTATCAACAGGGAAAAATAAACAGAAATTTAGTAATAAATCTCTGGATTCCATTTTATAAAAGTCAGCTGTTTGGTCTATAACATTGAGTGTGATTTGTGTGGAAAAAAGCATGCAAGTATGAAGTTAGTTACTGAAGCGTTCTAAGATTGTTTTGCAAATGAAATGAAGTCAAATAATTGTAATAAAAAAAATAGAATTAAAAGACTGAAAAATATGCAACAAAAACTTTCTGATTTGTGTTAAAAAGGGAGACAATAGAAATTGAACTTAATTTCCTACACTTTTATTATCTTTAGTGAAAAGTGAGGAGATGAATAAGAATATGTCTTCATTTTATCTATAGATGGGCCTGTAAGTAGGACATGGTAAGATCAGTTTAAGATGAGAGTGACTCCCTTGATCTCAAGAACCAAGGAGCTGTCTTTTGAAGAGCATGCCCAGATTCCCTACTGAGTCTTGTCCTGCATAGAAAGTAAAGGATTCATTTTTTTTAAATCTGGCATCAGCCACCTCAGCACCTTCCCGATGATGTCCCAAGATATGCAGGAAAGTTTTCTGTTCCCTACTCGTTGGATTAGTTGCTAGGCCTGCTGTAACAAGGTACAACAGACTGAGTGGCTTAAACAACAGAATTTACTATAGTATAGTTGGGGAGACTAGAAGTTTGAGATCAAAATGGTGACCAAGTTGATGTCATCTGTGGGCAACGAGGGAGAATCTGTTCCAGGCCTCTCTCCTAGCTTCTGGTGATTTGCTTATAGATGCATCATCCCCATCTCTGACTTCATTTTTACATGGCGTTCTTCCTATGTCCGTCTCCATTTCCAAACTTCCTCTTTTTATAAGGACACAGCCACATTGGGTTTAGACCCACCCTAATGACCTCATCTTAACTTGATTGTCTGAAAAGACTCTATTTCCAAACAAAGCCACATTCACAGACTCTAGGGTTTAGGACTTCAACATCTTCAGAAGTGTAGAAAGATACAAGTCTACCCAAAATACTAGTGTAGCTAGGTCTAATAAAAAGCTCTCTCCCTTTGCAGGATTCTCTTAGATTATGCCTAAGGAAACGAGCATCCTTTTAGTAATCATCTCTTCCTTATGTAGTCCTAGTATTGTCAGCCTGAGCCCTCTTTGGGGGAGTGTGTGTGTGTGTGGTTTTGCTTGATTTCTGGCCAGCAAAATCTAATTATCTCTTTGCTAACAGGGCAAACTTAGAGTTTAACTATGCAAAGGGACTTCAGAAACTGGCAATCAAGCTGAGCAAAGCACTACAGAGCACAAAGAAAAAGTAAGTATGTGGATGAGGTAAGGCAAAATAATTCTAAAAAATAATAAAAAGTGACATGTTCAATTCTAGCTTCCTCTTATAAGTGTGGCAGGGACACAATGTCAAGCATGACTTCCTGTGCTTTGGGCATTACAAAAAAAATCGTCACAACCCTTATGAAGTCTTGTTATTGTCGCTTTTCTAGACAAGGCCTTGAAGCTTGGAGGGTTTAAGATATTTGCCACAATCACATAGATAATGAGTTGTAGAGATGGATTCATTCTCTGTTTTTATGCCTCCTAAATCCATATTCATAATAGACCTCAGTGGTGACAGTAAACTTGGGAAGCAGTGTTGTTAAGTTGCAAGATCTTGGAGTCAAAAAGTGTGAATCCTGCTTTATCTCAACTCTATGACCTTCAGCGAGTAACTTGGCCTCTCTGTGCCTCAGTTTTCACCATTGTTAAATGAAATAATGAAATGTGTTCCATCGTGTGTATGTACGTGGGGGGGGGGGAAGGGGGGTATATTGAATGAGAAAATATATGTAAAGAGATTAGGATGTTGGGTGCAGAAAAAATGTTTTGTTCACATTTTCCTCAATACATTTCAGAATGAAGTCAATTCTTTCTTGGAGGAGAGAGAAGAAAGATATTGGTGTTCTAAAAATGGTCCCTTAGTAATAATTTGTTATGAAGAGTCTTGAGTAATGCTTGCAGATGACACCTTGAACTGACAGTGCCATTGCAAAGGCCTCTTTGATGATGAAAGAGAAAGGGACAAGAGAAAGGAAGTCTTTGGGAACTCCAATTGCTATTCTTCCTTAGGCTTTGTCTGTAGCAGCAAATATTGACTTTGAAATTGCTCTGACTTTTAGCTTGATTTTTAGGATAGTATTTTAGTAGACTACAAAGGAGCCAGTAGAGCACAGTGGTTGAGCATAGGTTGACTTTATTTAGACTGCCAGGTTTAAATTCTAGCTCTACCACTTACCATGTAGGTGTATTAGGACAATTTATCTTTCTTCTCATTGTCTATTTAAAATGGAAATAAAACCTATCTTATATAATTGCTGTGAGGATTAAATGAGATAATAAAAGAAGTGTGTTTACTACCTGGGAGAGAGCCAAAGCCCCATAAGTGTTCATTATAATTTTGATTATAATTACCTCCCAAAGAATAAGAGATGTAAGGGTGTAGAGGGTGTGTGTTGTGTTGCAACCTTAGCATTCAGCATGGTGCTCCCAGAGAGTTGGCATGTCCAGAATGTTTGGTTATCCAGGGTTAGCACAACAGTTAATAATAAAACATTAATTAAACTTTTATCTAGACCAAAATCTGTTTCAGATACTTATGTAATAATTAAGCGAGGGTCAGAAACATCAAGTGCTCCTTCCAAGGTCACACAGAAAACAAAGGGGAGGATGTGGATTCAGACACAGACCTCTTGGATGCCAGCGCTCTCAGCTTCCTGCTCAGTTGCCCAGCTCCTCTGAGGGGCAAATGCCAGGCTCTGCTTCATTTTCGAAAAAAAATCTTAATCGAGTTTTAATTTATATGCAATAATACACCCATTTAATGCATATGGTTTGGTCGATTTTAACATATGTATACACCATGTAACCACTACCAAAATCAACACAGAGACATTTTTATCACATAAGATTTCTCATGCCTGTTTGCCCGCCTTCCTCCACCCAGTTACAAGCAACCATTGATCTGATTCCTGTCAATACATAGATTTGTTTAGTCTTTCCTGGAATTTTCTATAATTGGAATCATACAGTAGGTACTCTCTGGTGCCTGGTTTTGTACCTGGCTTTGGATACACAAAAAAACCTGGCATCCTTTGGTCTAAATCTCCCATTCTCTGACTGCAAGTTACAACCGAAGTCATTTGGAGGCAAAACCTCTGCATCATCCTGATTTCAGTAGGGGCACCAATCTGTCCCTCCTCCTCCATCAAAGTCTGCATAGGCCTCTGTCCCTGGGGTTACTGATGCAATTAGGCTTATTGTTCTAACTTTTGAGGGCTGCTGTGAGCTATACCCCTTCCATGGGAGAAAACAGCATCACACTTCCTAATCCTCCTTCTGTGCTGCTGGGGACAGGGCAGTGCTATCCCTTTGTTAAATTGAGATAGTGCTCACAAGACCATAAAATATCTGAGCCGTTGTCCTAAAAGCCAGCAAGGAATGAGAACTAGACCTCAACCCCAGAGCAGGATACTGATGTGACAAAGGATGTGACAAAGGCTCTTGAATCCCCTGTCACTTAACTTCTCGGAATCTCAGTTTATTATCTGTGAGATCAGGATCCTGAAAAGGTTGTCTTTAAGGGACTTCTGCCTCTAGCGAGTTGTCTCCTGCCTCTTCTCAATGCCTTTATACCCTTGGCTATTTCTCTAACTTTCTACAGACAAGAATTGGAAAATGAAAATCAAAATTAAAAAATGAATGATAAAAAGCAATTTCTTTAATGACTGTAGTGCAAATAAATCCATTGACAGCATTTAATCAGAGCAATGCTTTCTTTCATACTTTACTGGGAAAATAACACATTCTTGTGTCTCCTTGTTTTTGCCTCCAGCTGTGTCGTCAGTGCCTGGGCCTGGATCTCGGAGGGCATGAAATCTGCAGCAGACCTGCATCAGTGAGTGCTCCTGCCCCAGCCTTGTTCCAATTCCAAAGGGAGTTTTAAATATTTAAAGTGGGTGCACTACAAATATTCCACTTCAAACTTGCCCTGAATAGATATGCTGTAACACACTATCTTATTTTCCCAGAAAACAGTTTAGAAAGTAGATACAAATTCTAATGATATATTTGTGCGTTTTTTTATGTTCAATTTCCAGAAAACTTGGCAAAGCAATTGAGTTGGAAGCAGTAAAACCAACGCATCAAGTCCTGAGTGTACATGAGAAGAAGAGAAAATCAGTGAGTCAAAAATTTTCTTTTCTCTCCTGTTTAAGCAAGATTTCTGTCTTTGGACCAAGAAGTAAAAGATGATCTAAAAATGATACTACATTTCAGAAATTTATCATAAAAATAAAAACAAACCTCAAAATTTATGTACAAAGATGTTTGTTAAAGCATTGTTTGTAGTAATGAAAGACTGTAAAATACTTCATCACCCCCCAAAAAATTATGACAAATTCAAGCAACAGAATACTATGCAACCATTAAAGGTCTTATTGAAGAAGAATTTAATTACACAGGAATGTTCTTCACTATGTAGAGTTAAAAAGCAGGATTTAAAAAATCTAACGATATGACCTGTTTTGTAAAATAAATGTGTACCTACGCATAGAAAAAAACATGGAAGAACTTCCCCAGAATGTTAATAAGAATTATCTCTAGATAGTGGGATTAGAGATTATTTTAATTGTTTTGTACTTTTTTTGTATTTCCATTGTTTTTGAATGAATAGCTATTCCTCGGGTAAATTGAAAAATTATAAACACGTATTTTAAAAAGAAATGCTTTTCTGTGCTTATCAGCTTGGGATTAAGTAAAGGCAATAATAGGTATGATCTTCAAAGAGGCTTCAAACTGAAGAAAAATAACTAAATAATTCTTGCAGAGGCAGCTGATCTTCTTAAATAGCATATTCTCTAGTCGTTTTGTGTGTCTTTTCTGCCAGAACAGTTTCATTAGTGTTCATTTTTCTTGTGTGTCATACAGTCATTTAGATCTTTAAAATATATTTTCAGGCAACATAAAGGAGTGTTTAATTAGTGTTGCTTAACTCTGATGGGAGTTGGGTCATGGCCACTATTTCAAGATCAGGTGCAGGTAAGAAGTTTCTGAAGCAGTAATAGTTGGTCTTTGTGAAGGGAAGGGGCCATCGCTAAGAGGAGTGTCAAGTGACCACAGCCAGATAAAATAGGTGATAAAAAGGGTAAGTGAGTAGAATGAGGAGATCTGTAAAAGCCCTGCTGGATGAAAAATTATACCAAGAAATTTTTTTTATTCAAACTCATTAAACTGAGTCAGGAAATATAATTGTTCTTTGTGGGAACATACGTATGTTTTTACCAGAATAGATGTTCTACTCATGGCTAGGATGATGGGGGAAATTTACAGTTCTGACTAGAAAACAATATAATTATCTGCCGTTGCAAACCAACTTAATAAAAACCAAACACAAATCTATATTTCATTAACTAATAAATATTTTCATACCACATTATAATCTGAAAATTACTAGCATTTTTTTAGTACTTACCATATGTTAGTCACAGTGTTATGATCATTATCACAGTGCCTTAGATAATTAATGTCATTATCCCCCCAAACTGCTGTTCCAGTTCATAGTCTTCTCTTCAGCATTACCCCTCCCTGCTGCATCCCTACCATCCTACCCAGTCTTACACAAAAGATAAAAGATCAGAATCTTTCTCAAAGTAATGAACTAGTTCTACATTTCAGACACATACATAGAGTAAAAAAATGGCATGGAGAGTAAAACATTATTTTCATTGTATTTGTTAGAATAAAGCATGTATTCCAAATTTAATCAGCTGGAAAAAATAAAAGTGTAGTGTTGCTGGATCTCAGGGTGGCTGAATAATGGCTGATCTGTGGGTCTGGCAAAAAGCTCAATGGTCCAGTCAGAAAGGTTCTGCTAGAATTTGAGTCTGACCTTCTGGGGTGGTGGAGGCGGGGTGCCTAGATTCAGTTTCATTATTACTATTACTGTCCCATTAGCTGTTTAAAGTTAAAAAAAAAGTCAATTCTGATTAAGAATTCAGTCTCTTTGAAATTAAAACAGTATTCACTTCAGGGACAATGAGACAGTAAAAATAGCATTGTTACTGATTCTATTGTGTTAAAATTTGGGGTGCATGGAATGATGCTGAAGAGAAAATGATGGGAACGGAAGTGATACCAAACTATGTAAGATCCTTCACATAGATTGCACATATTTATGTTGTTTTTACATAGTTATATGTGAGAAATAATTATTGTACCAAATGCTTTCAGGCTAAATTCCGTTAAGAGATTCTTAATAAGAGGAAAAGATAGTTTGGCTACTTTTCTCAGGAAATATATCCACTACAGGATTTTGAAATTTCTATGAATCATGAGAGTGATTGTGCTACAATTAATAAGCCAGAACCGTGACTCAACAAGAAGACAGAAAATATTTTTTTCTTTTTTTTCTCTTCAACAGCTTGATAACGAAGTTGAAAAGACAGCAAATCTTTTTATTAGCAACTGGAATCAACAAATGAAGGCAAGTAACACAAATATCTTTTGTATAAACTCAGTTTTTAGGATTGGAATCTTTTGTTTTGCACAAATATAATAAAGTGTTTTGGTATTAGTTTTTCTTAGTGCTAAATAAAGATAAAAATGCTTCCTCATGTGAGTTATTATAGCTTTTAACTCAACCAATGGAAGAGCAGGGCTCCAAATATGGTTATTATTTATGGCCAAAACTTATTGTGTGCCAAGTGCTGTAAACTATATATTTAATCATCACGACAATCCAGTGTGATATGTAACATTGCATTGTCCCATTTTAAAGATAGGTAGGGAAATTAAGACGTGTGAGGAAAATAATTTGTCTAAGGTTATAAAACTGGCTAACAGTTGAACCAAGAAGTGTTACTAGTCATTAGGCTCCAGGATCACTGCTCTTAACAATTACACTATGTTGACTGCCTCTCTGTATAATTTATAACTTAGGGCAAGTGACAAATACTATCTGAGTTTTGGTCTCATCATTTGTAGAAGGGTGTTTGTGATCTCTGTCTCATAAGTGAGAGAGCAAAGTGAGGGGTAGGTAGAGATAGGTAAAGGGAATATATATGCATATATTGATTCCATACATATGTACAGTTCACTTCTTGTGTACCACAGTGCACTAAGATGTGGTTCTTGTTCCTAAGTAATTTTAAATTTAGTTGACAGACAACATATGTGCAGGAGATTGTGCATGAATTCTAAGGAGAGGAATTACAATCTGGTGTGAATTTAGAACATATCACTAGAGGTTCTTAAGCAGAGAGAACAACAGATAGAACCCATATATATATACAGAAGATTATTCTAGAACAGTCCAGTTGAGGAGGAATTCTTTTTGAGTAGAAAGGATTAGAGAGGGAATCTACCAAGAAAACCCAAGGATTTTCTTTGAGAGGATGTGTGCTCCAAGAGTTGAAATTCTCCTTTTCCATCTCCAAAGTGTCAGTCCCCAAAGAGAACTTCCCTAGGTAGACAGCCAATAATGCCAAATAACCAGAGATGCCCTCAAAAAGAGGCGACCCCATTTCAATCCTCAGTGTTACTGCTGAAGCTTCTGATAAAACCAAAGACTTCCTGGGATCAGTGACATTAATATGAAATGTTCAAGATAAATGAATTTCTATACCCACGATAGAAAGTATGGGCATACACTGATGAAAGTATGCCCATGAGAAGCACATTTATAATAAATATTTCAAAGTCTTACAAACAGTATCCAGTCATTTGTTTTTAGTTTTGCTCTTGATTTTTATAAGCTTTCTTAAACAGAATTTGTTTTAAAAAATCCATTCTCTAAATATTCAGCTTTTACAGGAAATTCAATATAATGGAACAAAAGAGAGAAACCATGCTCGGCAGCTCCAATTGCTTTCAAGAACAAAAAGCATCTTTTATTATTTCCCAGTTCCACCAACTAATTTTTTCAAATAAAATGATTTTATTTTCTGTGAAGAGTGACAGAAAAATTAGAAAACATAACATTCTTGACTATGATAATTGTCTCCCCAATTACAATTCAAGGGATTCAACATGTCAATAACGAAGTGCAGTCTGTTTTGGAGGCACGTAAAGCCTAAAAGGACCAAAGGTCATGCCTCATTCCCTCATTTATCTGTGGGCATGTGACCAACTGAAGGTAGAGAAAGAGGGTCTAGTTGCTTCTTGTTCCTTGAATTCCTTATTGTTGAGTCTTCATTTTTTAGAGACTTTCAGAAGGCTTTGCCTCCAATTTCTAAGTACAAAGAGACCTAAGCTTTTCATTTTTCTGGTTTTACAGATCTTGCAACCTTGACGTAAAAAAATCCAATAGTATCTTAATCAACCCAGTTTCGGAAAAAGGCTCAATCCAACTCAAACCGAATTCTGTTTATTTTATCTCCGGAGCATCATCTCCTACCAAATTGGAACTGGGTAGAATAGGAAATGATCGCCTGAATCATAATCCACTCCAAGGTTTGAGGCATCAACAGAGTAGGGAGATTTTGAATGCTTCTTTCATCCCAACTACCCCCACCCCTTTCCACAAATGCAGGTCATGTCACAAGATGCCAGGCAAATGCCCAGCTCTCAATCCTGGGCATCAGGGAATAAATTTCCCCTTTGCCATAAGTTTTAAGAGAGCATCCTAAAACAACTTCAGTTGTGGCTCAGGTTGATTTAAAAGAATGATGCAGGCAGTCTTCCATGTTTTTTTTGTGATTTTTTTTTTTTTTTTGTAAAGCCATTCCCATTCATTATGTTAGCTAGGATAATGTTTTGGAAGCTTGTAGGCCTTCAGTGATTTAGAAAAATGTGTAACTCTCTTGAGTGTACCAACTACGATGAAAAAATATACAGTGGTTCTCAGGGCAAAATGTTAGCCATCATGATATTTTAGGCAGATTTTGAGATGAGGGCAGAAACGAAGAACTAAAAACACACTATCATTCAAGCTAGCACATGAACATTAAATTGTTCAAGAACAGAAGAGTTTTTCTCTTGATATTATTTCCTGCTCCTTTTTTGCTTTTTTATATATTTTTTGACTCTAGGCCAAAAAGAAATTAATGGTGAATACCAAGAAGCATGAAGCACTTTACCATCTTGTAGAAAGCTCCAAGCAAACCGTGACTGAGAGGGAGAAGCAAAAGGTAACCTGTCATGGCCGGTTGGGTGCATATGGCTTGGAGATGAATGGGATTCCTGCCTTTAGCTACAAATATGATAGAAATGGCTGATTCCCACTCTGTGTAGGGTCTGAGCAGATCTGTAGTGTGGCCAAGCATAAGAAGGGATTCTAAATCATTCCTGGTACACATGTACTTTTAAAAGATATTTATTGACAGATGACAAATTAGACCAGTGGTGTCAACATTTTTGATGGGGGACCCTATTAAGCATCTCTCAGCTTACACCTCAAAGAAGTAAAAAATATATACACACATTTATTATATATAATGTACTTCACTTATGTTGGATATAATATGTAGTACTTTATCTATTATACTGATATGTTATGAACATTATAAAACATAAAAAAGTAGAATGGCTTGAAGGATGAGATAAAGATGAACTAAAATTTTAAATGATTAGCTAATCATCATATCTTTACATAATCATTAAGTGATAATTCCAGGCAAAATATATACTTGGGGCAAGGTTCAGCTTTAAACATAGTAAACATACATTCATATTTCTCATAGTCCTCTTGATAATTTAAACATTTTTTTTGTCACCATCTTGTCAGGTGTCACTAGATCATCCCAATTTTTGCCTTTTCATGTGGGTGCTGACACGCTCGTAACCAGGAGCAGGAGACAGCATCAGCTCAAACCTTTTCTTGTGGCTTCCTTATGCTTACATTGTTAGTCTTAACATAAAACTACAGGTTCTTGGCAGAGATCTTTTTAAGAGGTTTGTGCACTTTGTGTGTAGTAACCTCGTTAAATCTAGATAATAAATCTGTACGTATGCATGACCCAGACACATGCCAATGGCCTCATGTCCCAGGATGTTGAAAGTGAAGACTTTATGTTAGCTTATTATGTTGTGAAGTTCCCACTCTCCTCCAAGACACCTTAGAATCCACAACTGTCCGTGTGTGGGTACAACGTCAATTCATATATTAGATAGCTTTAGGCAAAAATGAACACAAATAGCTTTAGGCAAAAATGAACACAAATAATATTGAAGTACAGGCAGAAAATATATGATTATCTTGCATACCTCATGTGGTATATGCTACAGATTGGAAACCTTTGAAATTATCAATATCTTCTTCAAAAGATGGAGTCCCCTTAAGGAAATGCAGGCAGCACCACTGCAACCGAAAATAGTCTTAAAAGAAAAAGAAAATTGTCATTGCAAGTAATGCCATCATTTCATTTGAAGAAACCATTAGTTGAATAGCTTAAATTCATTATTAGCAAGATTTCACAAAGTTCTTATTTCTTCACATGCCAATCTTCAAAGTTCGAAATGATCATAATAAGAGTTCAATAATGAGACAGCTTCCAAGGAGGCAAAATCACAGTATGTTAAAATGCGAAGCACCAGGAACTGTCACAGGCATTTGAAGCCCACATTAGAAGCTATTCTTTATGGTTGTCAAGCAAAAAGGAAAAAAAGAGCATGGGCAGCTAAGTGTGAATTTCCTCTTCCTTCCCTCATTAACAGCTTCCCTGGAAGGTCAAAGTCTATGGTCCTTCCCTCCCTTCCTCCTGCCGGTCCTGTAACCATAGTCCTTGGCTGTCATTATACCACAGACCCCTACCATCTTCATTGCTTTATCTGCTAGTCTTTTTTTTTTTTTCCAGTCTTTAGAGCTACACACTTAAGGCAGTATTCATTTTTACATCTTACACAGAAGTGCCCATGATGTCCAGCCTGAGCTGAGCTGATTCTGTGGTGCTCAACAGTTCTTCCTTTTTTCCTGCTCAGCAGTCCTTGTTCTCACCAGAAGCTGATCTAAATCTCCATTCTCCTCGCACTTCCATCCTCACTACCCACTCTCAGCAGACTATCATGCCTTCTCTCTCACAGAAGAAATAGAAGTCAACACAGCCACCTTCCTACTAAAGTCAGCACAGCCACCTTCCTACTAAAGTCATATGTGCAATGGGGCACCATACCATCCTGCCTCTCAGAGATGTTTCTCTTGATTATTCCTCTTTCCTGTGTCTCAAACATAACCCTCCCCAGTAGTTTCTTTCCATCAGCCTTCTCAACTCCCCACATCTTGGGAAAGTAGGGAGACTCAGGGAGAATCTTTCCATGGCCTTATTCCTGTTTCTCTCCAGATATTATTGTCACTCCTTACTTTTACAATAAGATTTGTTGAAAGTGTTGTCTGTGCTCTGTCTCTACTACCTCACCTCCTGTTCACTCCTTAAACCTCCCCAATCAAGCTTTCCCCACCGTTCTACTAAGAGTGCTTTTGCCATGGAAAATGATGTCTTCCTCATTAAAGCCAACAGGTACTATCCAGTTCTTACCTTATTTAACTTCTCAGAAGCATTAAGCCTTGTTGACACCCTCCTTCCAGAAATGATCTCTTCTTTAAAATTCAGCAACATCTTACTCTTTTGGTTTTCCCTCCTCGCAATTTTTTCTTAAATTCCTTTGTGGACTTCTCTCCTTTGGCCTGATCTTTCCCATGTTGCTCTTCCTAATGATTTCCGTCCTGGGCCTTACTCTGTTTCATTCAGCATGGTATCTTCCAGTGTCCTGCACAGTACTCTCAGCATCAGGTACTCAATAAATAATTGGCTCTCAAATATGCCTCAAAGCATCAACTAGCATATTTATGCTGACAATGCACAAATTTATATCTCCAGCCCACACCAGTCTCCATACTGCTTTCTGCACATCAAACTCAATATCCGAAATTGGAACTATCACTTCTATCTACCCAAAATATTCCTTATCCTTATGTTTTCTATATCTTTGAATAACACCATCCACCATATCCTCCCAATTTTAATTGCTAAACCAAATACCTTTTGAATGTACCTACTTTTTGAATGTATTCACCTCCACTGCCATTACTCTCTCCCAGGCCACCATCATCGTTGCTTAGATTACTGTAACTGACAAATCAGTCTCTTGACTTTCAATGTTGCTTCTTCTTATCTATTCCCCATACACGAGCCTCCTCAAATCTGAGCATTCTGTTCTCCTTTTAAAAACCTTCAAAGGCTTCCCAGTGACCTCAGAATGAGTACGAGCTCCTTTACATGGCCCTTTAGACTCTCCCACACTTGACCCTTCTCTAATTTTCAGCATCACCTTTTGCTATTCTTTCTCTCAAACTGTGTGCTCCAACCTCAAAAAAAAAAAAAAAAAACTGTATACCTTGCTATGTGTACCAACTCTTACTTTCATTTTAGGTTTATTCACACAGGGATTATTCCTATAAGCACCCACTATATGCCAAGTCTCAGCTTAAATGTCATTTTAATTCCAAGGCTCGTTTAAGTGCCTCTCTTATGCCTCAGTGATACCTAAATACTTATATCATCCCGAGATCTATCACACACAGGATAGTAATGGCCTGTGTGGGTCCCTGACTAGAGAAGAAGCCTATCTAGTTCCATTTTCTTTCCCCAGAGCCTAGTACCTGACACACTGTGGCATTCAGTAAATGATGAATGAGTGAGATGTTTGTTCCAAGAGAAAGAAAAGAGGAAAGAAAAAGTATACAATCTTTGACAAATTTTAGTAAAGTTTTCTGAGAGGTTCCTTAAATAAAAGAGTCTACATTCTTCTTTTATATTGATTTGGGGTTATTTGTTGTAAATTTGCTGAGCAGAAATTTCTAGTCAATAGCTATATAGGCTGATGAATATGAGTAGTCATCTCAAAAGTGATTTTATTCTCATTGTTGGGAGTCTGGCATTCTCAACCAGAATTTAAGGACAATGATTTAGCAACATATAGCCATGGCACACTTTCTGCCCTTTCATTATATTGTTATCAGATTAAAATTCACAAGCTCATGTTTCTATAGATAAATGTGGCCCATTACACTTGATATACAAAACTAAATGTGTCCTGTATAAGTCGTTCATCAGAGCCAAGAGACAGTTGAATGGCTACCATATCAATTGGAATGATAAAGTGAGTGGTGTTAATATTCAGAATTTTAGATGAATGTTCTTTATTACTGAAACGTTAGTCATAATGTCCTTAACCATAAAAAGGGTCATTCTTAAAAGCTTTGTCTCTGTCCTTGAAGCTCTAAACTGCTTAGGCTGGAGGGATCCTCGGTGTTCCTTCATTTTTGGTTTGAGGACCATTTACAGCAGAATCATCTGAGGAAGTAGTGAAAATTCAGATTTCCAATTCCCACTACAGAACTATTGAATCAATATTGCTACTTGTGGAATGCTGAAAATCTTCCATTTTACAAGCACCCCTGGTCATTCGTAGGCATATTAAAGTTTGAGACTCATTCACATAATTCAACTTCTTCCTTCCTCAGAGATGTGAAATTACTTTTCTGAGCATTTTGAGAATCAATTTCGGCTTCCCTGGTCTGAAGAGTTTTGTATTGCTTTGATTTTCCAGAAGATTCCACAGTCAGAATGGCCAATTTTGGTGATTGGCAAGAGGAGGCTCTTTGTGAAGGAGCGTATCATTGGGGAGCAGGATAGAAAGAAAGCATCTGTCAAGCTGTCCATAACTTGGAGTGCACACCAGCATACATCTCACTCGGACTCTTCGCTAGTAACAGTGATTCTAATCTTTGAGGGCTGTACCAGGTGTCAGTCAGTGTGCCACATGCCTTACCCACATCACCTGTTTGAATCCTCAAAGCAACCCAGTGAAGTGGGAGCATCACTATTTGCATCACAGAGATGAGAAAACTGGCTTCTGAAGGTTAAGTAATTCACCCGCAGTCAGAACAAGGACTCTAATCCTCAAGTTTGATTTTTAAAGTTATACCGCAGAATTTATATAGTGAAAGCGAAGTAAGGTTGTTGGACAGGATGATAGCCAGGCCTAATTCTAGCTCTAAAAGTTACATAATTGCACAAATCTCTAACTGTCCTGGTAAGAAATTCCATAGCCTAATATTTACCAAGTAAGACTATAGGAATCATTAGCAGATTACAGTCTTGAGTTGAAGGTTCCTGATCTGTGCTTGCTTCTTCTCACCTGTCCTTTGACCTCTTCTTTGATTTGATGAAATGGGCACGTCACATCATATTTAAGGACCTCTATTTCCTCATAGAAAAAAAATTGAAAGAATTATACTAAAAGGCCCTTAGGTTTCCTTTCAGCTCTGATATTCTTTTTTCTGAGAAAGATCTTTGACTTTGTCATCTGTAGCTACTCTTTATAATTTTAGCTGGGAGATGAGAAAGATATCATTGGGATGCATATAATTTTTTATATGGAATTACAAAGGGCTTTTATAAATATGTTAATGAATACGTGACACTGATGTTTTACTTTAGCTCCTCAATAAACTGAAAAAATCGACTGAGAAATTGTCAAAAGAAGATGAAAATTACTACCAAAAAAACATGGCCGGCTGTTCTACCAGACTGAAATGGGAAAACATGCTAGAAAACAGCTACCAGGTAATCAAACAGTCACTTTTTTTTTTTCTTTTTTTATTCTTCCATGGAGCTTTGTGTGGCCTTGAAAATGGAGATCGGATCTATAGTTACATGACCTGATGATCTCTGTCCTTTGCTATGACCCTCACTCCTACTGTGACGTTAGACAAACCCCATTACTTCTCATTGTTTCAACTTTTCCATGGATACAGTAACCAGTGAATATCTATTGAATGTCACTGGCCAGAATTTCTGCTCCTAAATTCTCAATGGACAAGATAGCACTCAGCTAATTTCAAAAATAGCCAAAGTGAAGTGTAAATTAAGGCTTGAATATTAGGTACTCAGAAATGAATTTTAGGCCTGAGACCTAATTCAAATTGTGTTCACTTATGGAATTTCTTCGTATGTCAGGCATTGTGTTGGGCACTGGAGATATATAGCAATGAATAAATACAATCTAACTCTTGGGATGTGTACAGTTTAGCAACAGAGAAGACATATAGAGGAAGAATTGTGGCAAATTGTCCAATAAAAATCAAGAGGTATGAAAAAGCAAATCACAAAACAGAAAATCAAATCACTAATAACACATGAAAAGATGCTCACTTATATGGCAAAAATTTTAAAGTGATTATATCAAATGTTGCTAAATAAAAATTGTTAGGAAACTAAAATTCTTGTACCCCTCTAGTGAGAATAATTTGATGTTATATAATAAAACTGAAATATGTATGTACTCATAACACAACAGTTCCTCTTTTAGTCATAATCCTAAAGGAAAAATTATAACTGTATACCAAGGGTGATGTATAAAAATATTTATTGCAGAATTGTTTATAATTGCATTGTGAGAAAAAATTGGACACAATCTTCATTTCTGTTAATAGAGGAATTACTCTTAAAATTTTATCTAATGTAGAAAAAGGATGCCTGTCAAGTCATTCTTGCTTCACTCTAGCATTAATGATTCCCTTTGTATTGTGTTGGCTTATATATATTCAGTTAATACAACTGAATATATTCACATATTACACTGTACATTCTACATCTTCTGTTGTTTACAAACTCAGGAGTAAAATCACATTCATAAAAGACATAATAAAAGCGGGCTGAATTAAAGGAGAATTTTTATGTATTCCCCATCATTCTTCTGTAAAAGTGGAATATAAGAATTCGTTTTAGGATCCTATGCAGTGTCCTCTTACCCCTTCTTACTCTTCCAGTTGAATTTACAAATTCTTTCAAAGAGTAGTTATCGATCTACGTTCAAGGCAGTTTACTAGATACTGTGAGAAATATTACAAAGTCCCAAGTGTTGGTATTAAATAATGAAACCAATTCCACAAACCATAAGTTACAATTTGTCTTATTACTTCATAATCATCCTATGTGAAAGCCACATGTCTTACCTTCCAAGAAAAAATAATTCAGTTGTTAGAAATAACCTATGTTTCAAAAAATAATAGCAACACTACCAAGAATTACCAAGAATCAAATATTTGGTACTGACAGTACTTACTCAAGGAATTATTTTAGAAAACCCTTTGCAAAACGTGTCAAAAGCCTTTAAAATGTTCACTTTCTCATCTGAACCACGGAACACAGAAAATAATTTGAGTGACTGTTTTCTCAGTTCTCGCAAGGATGGTAGTGAGTAGTAGCACTTTAGAGGCAGAGAGGAAATGGTGACTCATTGCATACAATGGATGTCTTAGGACATTGGGTTTCTCTTCTAGAAATCCTGTTGAAAAACACAATTTCCTTTCTATAAATCTATTTTGAGAAAATGACTGGAAAATAAATACAGATTTCTGTTCAAAATGCATTAAAAGTAAAAGGGAGGAAACAATCCAAATAGCCAACATTTAGGGGGATGACTAAATGAATCGATGCATTCTATGCACTCCTACACAATAGACTGTTAATTAAAATGATGTTTGTGACTAACGGGCTGGGAAATTGCTTATGTATAATGTTAAGTGAAAAAGAAAAGATATAAATTTAAGCAATTTGATAAATAACTAGAAAGATAAAATCATTTATACACACATATCTAGACAGACTGAAATATAGCAAAAAGTTAACGGTGGTTATCTCTGGGTAGAAGAATTATAAGTGATTTAAAAAAAATTTTTTGTTGCCCTTTATGGCCCTAGGGCACTATCTTAAAGCTCGTTAGAATTTGGATTCCAGAATGCCTCCCTAGACCAGGTAAATCACAGAACCTCTGAATGATTTTAGGAAGGGGTCTAGATAATTGATAGGTATACTAAAGTTTGGGAGTTTCTGCTCTAGAACAGCATGATCTTTCTTTGATTAGTTTTATGAAGGCAATTTAGATGAAAACGGAGTCCCTCCAAGCTCTTCAGCTAGTATAAACTGAAAGGCCAGGACAGTAGGAACCGAAAAGAATGAATGAACACTATGAATTATCATGATGCCTGGGCCCTGGATGGGCTCTAAATCTGCTGTTTCTTGATAACTCTGACCACACTTTCCTCATATGTGCTATTGTGAAAGCTTAGGAGGACAGTTTTAGGTTCTCCAGAGTATCTTGCTTTTCTACCACTTATTTTACATAAAAAGAGAAAGATAATAGAAAGCAATAATTCATTAAGTGAGATATGGATTTTCCCCTTGCACAGTGGAATTTATCTCAGCCTCTTTCCATAAGCAAACATAGATCATTTTAATGATTTCCATAAAATGCGATTAGAATCCGTTAAACATTATCATCTCCACCAAAGGACACTGGCTATTCTAGTCTCAAGATTGATGCTAGCTGCTCAGCACTTGTCACGGTAAAAAAGCAGCTGCCCACTAGGGATGCAGTGTGCTCCTAAACCTGGCTTTTCTTTTCTCTCCTTTGCTCATGGTGCCAAACTACAATAGCTGCTTTCTGAATCTTTTTCTATGCTGTAAAGGCTCTTTCTTTTTGAAGACTGTCCTACTTGAGATCCAAACCACTGAGCAGAATTGGTTTTATATATTTGTTAGGAGGCATATGGTTTCTGCCCTTTGAATAAGCAGTACATTTAACAGGCTAATCATCTATATCTTTAATCCTATATCTGGGAGGCAGAGGGCACACAGCCACATTCAAATAGCTGGTGCCTGCGATTTTGGAGAAAGACTCAGGAGATCAACACCAGAAACAAAGGCATTTGGTTCCTACTGACTCACAAAAATTGTGCAGGTTCTGACTCCACAAAGAAGGTGGCCATGGAGAGCAGAGCTCCAAGCTTTCTCATTCAAATGTCAAGACATGTGGCACAGAATGGAAATTTGCATGTGATTAACACAGGTGTTCATAGTTACTACATGCATTTAATAGCAGCGTTAAAGTGACTATAAACCTACAAACAAAATGTGATATAAATTTAAAATGAAATATTATTCCACCTTAAAAAGGAAGGAAATTCTGACTCATGCTACAAGGGTGAACCTTGAAAACTAATGCTAAATGAAATAAACCAGATACAAAAGGACAAATATTGTATGATTCCTGTTATATGAGATACTTAGAGTAGTCAAATTCATAGAAGACAGAAAATAGAATGGTGGTTTTCAGAGGGGCCGGGGAGAAGGGAATTAGGAGTTATTGTTTAATGCGTACAGAATTCAGTTTTCAAGATGAAAAGTTTTCAAAATAGATGAGGGTGATGGTTGCACAAAAATGTGTATGTATTTAATGACATTGAACTGTACACTTAAAAATGGTTGTAACGGTAAATTTCAGGTTTTGTGAATTTTACCATAATTAGTAAACAAACTGAAAAATTTCTAAATGACTATACATCATAGATGAAATAGCAACTGAATGTGAATGCAGTTTACTCACAAGAATATAAAGAAACACCATACTGGATATGGCCAGGGGGCCCTGCAGGTGTGCCAGGAGAGGCAGGATGGGAGAAGCCAAAGATCTTTGTGGTTTCTCTACCTCTACTCTACCAAAGGCCTATGACAATGTTACCCACCAATATGCCCAATATTTTCTTCATGAAAGACTATTGCACACACGCAATGGAGTGAGATGGTAGATACAGGAGAAACCAATCTGGCCTCTGAATAAAGAAGTAACGTACTTACAAAACAGGATGAGAAGCATATTGTTTTTGGACACCTGCCACCTCTGTCAAAGCAGAATTCCTCTGCGCACATACCCAGTAGCCTCCTACTGCCCCCACATGGCCTGGGAATCCCTTGCATACTCCACCTGACCCAGCCTTCTCACACAATGCCTAGCTGGTGAACTTGGAAAGCCCTCGAAACAATCAGTAAGAAACTCAGCTAGCAGTGCGTGGCAAGAGTCTAATATCTAAATTTTTCTAAATGTTAATGGCTAACAAAGCAAATACGACCACCCTCACTTTCTTATTTATCCTTCTAGATAAAAGTTATGAAACTCTAAAAGTGGAATTCTTGTCATTTTGTACAAAATGGGGAAGCTGTGTTCCCACCTTCAAACAGAAGTCTTTGACTCCGCAGGCCTAATTTTAGGCCAGATTTATTAATTGATCAGAATTTGGAGTTCTGCTCTCATCAAATAGTTTCCTGAAGCAGAGAATTTGTATCTCATCATTTTTGCCCTTGAAGAGGCTAGCAGAATGCCTTGTATGCAGTGTTAACAATTCCAGAAATATTTAGTGTCTGTCTGCATTTCCAAGACATGGACATGGGTTCCACTGGGTTTTACTCTATTTCTCTAGAATTCACAAATGCTTTTCAAAAGAGTCTTTCTCTCCCCTTTCTTTGTGAATATCAGGTAACCCATGGCATCTACTATATGCCTTTTGGGCCAAAAAAGCCTGGAGAAAGTGTATAAGTTCAATCAATTCTAATGGATGATAAATAGGACAGATATCAAATCACATTCCTATCCTGGGAATCTCCCCCACCTTACCCCCACCCTGTCGCCACCACCAGTTTGGACATGAAGTAATCAAGAGGCACAAACATGACAATTTGCTCAGACTTTCTTCGTATGCAGTATTCGATGGGTACTTCAGTTTTGCACAACTGGCTGATCTTACCTCATTTTCCATCCTTTACAGAGCATCCTGGAGCTAGAGAAGGAAAGAATTCAACTTTTATGCAATAACTTAAACCAGTACACCCAACATATTTCTAGTTTTGGCCAAACCCTGACTACGGTGAGTTGTAAAGGTCTCTCCATGTCTGGTGTGCATAACAAGAGCTGGCAGGAAACATGTCTTCAGCAAACTTATTCTGTTTTCCTTGACATTGCAGTGCCATGAGCAGATACACTGTGCCATCAGCAAGATAGATGTCGAAAAAGATATCCAGGCTCTAATAGAAGAAACTGCCATTTCAACTACAGAAAATAAATCTGAGTTCCTATTAACTGATTACTTTGTAAGTATGGAATGGAAGGATGTTCGATTAATGGGGATCCTTAGTCATGTACTGAAGGATTAAATTCAAAAAAAATTGGAAGCAATTTTAAAAGAAATGTCTTGTTTTTTAAAAAAATATATTGTTTTTTTCATAATCCATATCGATAAAACAAAACAGTGTGGTTTACAAACTAGGCAATAGATACATATCTTTGGTCTTCTCTGGAAGGGCTGAAGGTCAAACAGGATTTTCAACTGAATCTTCATATTCAGTCTTTTATGAGAGTAATGTCAAGCAGACGTGTTTTATGACCTGTAAATAATAACTGTGTATCATATTGGTTGTCTATTGCTGCATAACATATTACCCACAAATTTAATGACTTAAAACAAACGCTTATTATATCACAGTTTCTGGTCATCAGGAATCCAGATATGGCATAGCTGGGTGCCTCTGAATGCCTCACAAAATTGCAATCAAGGTATCAGCCAGGACTGCAGACATTTCAAGGCTGTACTTAGAGACGAACCCCTTCTAAGCTTACTCATTTGGCTGATGGCAGGGCTTTGGTCCTGGTTGACTGCTGGCTGGAGATGTCAGTTCCTTGCCATGTAGGTCTCTCCTTATGGTAGCATACAATATGTCAGCCTACTCCCCCCAAAACTAGTGATACAACAGAGACAGAAACAGAGCGCCCAAGATGAAAGCACAGTCTTTTATAAGCTTATCTCAGAAGTGACATCTCATCACATTCTATTTGTTAGAAGCAAGTCAGTAAGCCCACACTCAAATGGAGGGGATTACGAAAAGACGTGAATCCCAGGAGGAGAGAATCATTATCAGCATCTTCATGATCCTTTCCTTTGAAAAACTTGGAGCAAATTACAGAAGCATATTTTGAGGGCATTTAGGTGATTCCACTATGGCATTTGTGCTAAAAACTGATCAGTGTCCCTGGTCAGAGTCCAGGCATCTTGTGTCTTTGCTATCTTGGGGTAAATTCTTTGTCTTCTGAATTCCTGACATTTCTTCCCTGGGCCTTCTGCTATATTTCACTCAGACTTTCAAGGTCGTTATTGGGAAGCTTATCACTCTTGGTATATAAAACCAGCCCACTTGTTCATGCCCTCCTATAGGATTAAAAGTGTAGTCAAACATCCCAGGACCCCCCACTCAGGGAATAAGAGATGAGGAGAGAGAGAAAGGCGGTTAGATTTGGGCATAGCAGTGAATCCAGCTGCTGAGAAAGTCACCAGCTTTCCACCTCTCTACCTCCCAAACAGTAGTTAAGTGGCCAGCTATTTTTTTAACTGAATGTCTTTATTTTTTTTCTTACCCAGGCAAAGGCAAAGCAAATTAGCAATAACAAAACAGAAACAAAGGTAGAGATGGGAGTGAAAAGGAAGATGTGATTACAATAAGAAAGTGCTTTCTTTCTGTTTCTTTCAAGTAGTGTAGGTGATCCCTGAAATGAGAAAATGTGCAATAAAATATATCTATTACTTTTTTTAAAGGATAATACAAATGTCCCTATAGACCAACCTGTCAATAAAACCAGAGACATTCTTGAAAATTTGACTAGGCTTCTATTGAACTGTAAGGAGGCAGCTACGATGGTTTGTCTTTAATTGATATACCTGTGGGAATTTTTGGTTTCTATAAAACTTCAGTCACCAGAACTAATGACTAAATATCTGTTGTATAAGAGAATGAACTGTATTTCCAAGTGGGTGAATAGGATTTTCTTAATATCCTTAAAGCAAAACACCCCCAAAGTCTGACATTATAGTAATAGCAGTAAGTGTAGAGAGGCTTTTATCTAGTGCTATGAAATTTATATAGACAAGGGGTAAGAGAGGAGAATCATCTCAATGCAAATATTGAAGGACTGGTGACCAGTGTGAAAATATTTGCAAGGTCACTCCAAAGATCATGTTCAAAAGATTGTGTCTGCAGTTTTATATGCCTCCTCCAGTACTGATCTTCTTTCAAACAAATCTTTGGAAGAGAAGGAGAAATTTAAGAAAGTTAAAGGATGGTGGTATACGCCATCCTCAAGTTGATCCAGTAATGATCTATCTCTAGAAGTACATTTTTAAAACATAGATGTCCCCAAACAGACCAAAAGAAGTCTTAGGTGTGGGAGCCAGATTACAATGTCCATTCCTCCAACAAGGAAGGACTGAGAATTGGAGTTAGGCTTCCTCTCAGGTTGCCTAGAGCTCCCTTGTGGGAGTGACGTCAGCTTGGGCCTCAGCCATGAGCAGACATTTAAGTAGTAGACTCTGGAAGAGAACTGGATTCCCAGGAGTTAGGTTTCCCGAGTAAACACTTATAAGCTGTTTCATCTTAACACTTCATTTGTTTCTCTGTAGCAGGTAAAACGGGGAAAATAAAACCAATCTCAGAGTTGTTGTAAGAATTACATGTAATTAAGAATATGAAGAAAATTGTTATAATATATAATACACACTATGTGAATAAAATAATTTTATCCATTATATTTTCATAAAGGCTATTCACTTTGCTCTAAGTGCTCAGTTTCCCCTTCTTCATGACAATCTATCTAAAGCTAACCTTCCACCAACATTCGGCATCCTAGTTTTTCTCCTTCCTTATCAGGCAAGTCCTGACTCCACTCCTATCTTCAGTCTTTAGTTTCCCCTCTTTCTCCACAGGTTTCTGTCCCTCTGCTATCCTCATGCTCACCTCCTCCCAATCTGACCCTAAACTTTTTCATTCAAGCCTTGACATATGTGTGTGGAAGCTCAGATATTAATGGTTTCTCACAGCCTATGTGGTAAAACCTCTACTTCAGGCCAAAATCTGTTCTAAACTACTCAGACTTTTTTCCACTACGTTCGCTCAAGCAACCGGTCTATTTATTGTTCCTGATACATTTCACACAGTCCTTCCTCCATCCTTTGTTTATGCCAATTCTCCTTCCTGGGATACCCTTGGTCCTTCTTCTCCTTCAGTGAAAAATCTTAGTTAAGTTTTCTAGCCTCCTTAAAGCTTTTGTGCCTGAGTCCCTGCCCTTGGTGAGCCACACATTTCTGTCTGCACTGTTTATAAATGAAGGTGGCCTTGAGTTTCTAGGTCACATTAGGCTTCAAGGCCTAACTAAATCAAAAACCCATTATGGGAAGAGCATTTCTGTTTCAGTTCATGTGTTCCCAATAGCCACCAACACAGAACACAATAAACATTCCACTCCTGAAATGGTTCTAACTTCAAGCACACACATGATACTACATTTGGACCATTGAAGGACTCTAACTTGAATAAAGAGCTACAAGTATACAACAAATAGACTTACTTATCAAGAAACTATGAAATAGTTATAGTAAGGTTCATTCTCCAAAAACAATTTGTTCTATTAAAGAAAGTGTTCAGTCATGTACTTATAAGTTGTAAACAAGACACTTTCTTATTAAGCAAGTCTAGAAAAGGTAGAATGACATATATAAAAACCAAAGGTTACTTGTTTTTGTTTTTGTTTTTACTTTTTTTCTTCCACCAAGTTAACATTAAATACAATCAGTGAAAGTCTCAGTGGAACTAGGAAAGACAAGTCTTTCTTTTTCCCTCTTAAATTGTTAAACATCCCTTTTTGTCCTAAAGGAAGAAGACCCTAACAATGCAATGAGTAAAGACCGTCAAGAGTCTTCAATAAAATCAAAACTGTTGAGACTACAAAGAGATATTGAAAAAGCCTCAAGAGACCAGAAAGGTGTGTGATTTTCTGTGTGAATGGCCTGATAAGGGAAGGCACTTTCATTTAGAGTTAGGGTGATTCTGCTTTTGCTCACCGAGGCGGGGATCATCTCATTTAAAGAATCATATGTCAAACCTAATTTGTGTCAATGAAGAAAAATAAAAAAAAAGAAAGGAGAGAGCAAAAAAAAAAAAAAAAATTGACAGATGAGAGCTTTAGAAGTACTATACCACCATTTCCAGAAATGTGGCGTTCTACTATGGCTCTGAAATTGGCTGGAATAAGGGAAAATTTGGTTTAAAACGTAGTAAACCTTAGTGTTTTGAGGAACCTCCATACTGTTTTCCATAGGGGCTGTACCAATTTGCAGTCCCACCAGCAGTGTATGAGGGTTCCTTTTTCTCTGCATCCTCTCCAACATTTGTTATTACTTGTCCTGTTGATTATAGCTATTCTAATAGTTGTGAGATGGTATCTCATTGTGGTTTTGATTTCATTTCCCTAATAGCTAGTGATGTTAAGCATTTTTTCATATGTTTCTTGGCCATTTGTATGTCTTCTTGGGAAAAGTGTCTGTTCGGGTCTTCTGCCCATTTTTTGATTGGATGGATCATTTGGTTTTTTGCTGTTACTGAGTTGTACGCGTTCTTTGTATAATTTGGATATTAGGCCCTTATCAGAGGCATTGCTTACAAATATATTTTCCCATTCGGATGGTTTGCAAAATAAGCCAGACAGAAAAAGTTGAAAATCACATGATATCACTTATATGTGGGATAGAAACCTAAAAGCAACAAACAAACAGGACAAACAAACAGAGATTCATGGACATGGACTAGTGGTTAGTGGTTACCAGAGGGGAGGGGGGAGGTAGATGGGGTAAAAGAGGTCAATTATGTGGTGACTTTTTCATAATTATAGTAAAATTTTAAAAAATAGTAGCTATTGTTACAAAAACATTTTATTATAAGTGAAGTTGGGATAATTTCAAAAACAATGTCACCATAAAAAAATTAATTAATTAATTAATTAATTAATTTAAAAAAAACATAGCAAACCTGTGCACAGGGCTTCTGGTTTTCTTGTTAGTTCCTTTTTAACTAACTAAACAATGTGAGAACCATTCACACTAAATCCTATACTTTGAAGTGAGGCACATGGGCATGTGAAGCAGCTCTAAAGCGATGCAGGTAATGCAAGTGACTCCTCACCTGTGATTCTGATACATACACCTTATTTTATGTGAACCAAAGCAAGGTGTTGCAGTCTAATACTTGACAGGAGATCCAAGAGAGCAAAGGTGTTTGCAAATGTAAATAGCATATTGAGAGAGAGCCTAATACCGAGGTAAATGTTAGGAATCCACCATGGAATAGGTCAGCGAGGAGGAGTCACAAGCTCACCTTGAAAATAACAGTCAACTCTTTAAGCACCAACAAGCATTTCTCACAATTTATTAAAGGAAGGTAAAGGTCACCCATTCAGTAAAATTAAGTAACAACTACCTACAGAAACAGCCCCGGGGGATTAGGAAATCCTTCTGGGCTCAGGCTCCCACAGAGTGTGACCTTCTCTCAGCTGTGTCCCACTGGGACTGGACAAACTGTGACTGAGAATACGATTTCATTTTCAGGCCTGGAACTAATGCTGAAAGCATACTCCAGTAACTCCTCTTTCTCAGACCCTGAGAGCCAGAAAAACACAGCAGCCTTAATGGATGAGGTAAATATTTGTAGAGTGAAGTTTCCTAGATTTAATGATGAAAGAGTTATTTTTAGAATGCTTGTTTTCTGTCCCATTTGACCTTTGTTTGCCTTTCCTTCCTCATGACAGAGAACAATCTAGTCAGAGAGCTCGTATGGTTAGGTCCTTGGCAAGTAGTTTGAGGGATCTGGAAAAATCCAGCTACTTAGAAACATTTGTGTTAGTATCCTCCTAGGAAAGAATTGTGCTAAAATAGAATTTTCCAAAATAGGATCATTCTTCAGGGTCTGGAAACCATGTGTACTTTAACCCAGTTAAGAAACGTGACCAAAAACACAGATTCTGCATTCAGAAAGGCCTGCATTTGGATCTAGCTCTGCCATTTACAGGGACCTGGGATAACTTTAGTTTTCTTATCTGTGAAATAGGGATATTGGTACCTATCTCAAAAGATTTTTGTGAGGATGAATTGTTATTTAGAAAATAAATATTATTTTTATGCTAGCACAGTGTATAGAAGATAGCAGAAAAATTGGTTATTATTATTAAAATGCTGTTTCCATTCATTCTTCAACTAACATCAGGGTCTTCTGAGAAGAACAGGAGGCTGGAAATATATGGGGGTTGATGGACAAGGTGGCAACTTTGGAGGAACCTACATTAAAAAGGCAGTTAGCAAAGTCTTGTGAATTTTATATAGGAATAAAAACAAACAGATACTATTGCCTATGTGTGCAAGACATGGGTTTTTTGCTAGGATTAAAGTAAGAGGAAGTTTATGGGTTGTCTTTTCTGAGAAAAATTCAGGAAGAGATAAAATTTTTTTGACAATGTTTTGAAGGAAAACATTCCTGTTTTTACAGGAAACCGGACACGTTTTCCTTACCTTGAATACAACCAAACTAATTTTCTTGTAAGTAACGAATAATTCTGTCCAAACAGGCAATTTTTCAGTAGTTCTTTGGTGAAAATAGACAGGTGCAACCAGGCACAGCTTATCTTTTTTTTTTTTTTTTTTTTTTGGTAATACTTGTGAAAAGAAAGGCCTGAATTCTGTTCACTTGCAAACAGAGGTCTAACATAGTTGCAGTGACACTTGGTTACAATGTTTATGAAATTATAAAACAGACTCTAAGACATTTCCTGTGACCACACAAAATGTTTAGTTAGTTAATTTGATGCCAATAATATTTACCAAAATAAAGTCATATGGAGCATTTTAAGATGGTGTTAAGTTATAAGTTTATTTCTTTGGTTGTTCCTGCACGGAACTTTGTCATTCTCATTACCAGCATAGAACATGTATTAGGATCAGCTGGGTACACAACTGGACTGATTCACACAGTGGAGGATGCAAGGCGGGAGAGGATCTGACCCCTGAATTCATGATGTTTATGATCTAGTGAAGAAACAAATATGAACCTTCAAATAGTAGATGCCAAATATCCCTGTAACTTTGTTATACATCTGTTGGAGGGAAACTTCTGATATCAGCAGATTTCCTGTTACCCAGGAAAGGTTTCTTGCAGTAAGAAACTGTTTTAATTAAGCCCTTCCTAATTCACTTTCTCTTGGTCATCAAAGTGCCATATCTGAGGCAAAAATGTTGGCGAGGCATGTTTTATGAGAAACTGTTGTGGATATTGTCTTCAGATACCAGGAGTGCCACACAGAAGAGGAATGAGACTTTTTCTATTATGCTCTCAAATGCAGAAGGTCTAATGGTAGAAGGTATAGGAGGCACTTTTGATTTCATCCTAAGTGAGCCTGTCTCACAATGCAGTGGATTGATCCAAGGGTTAGAGACCTTCCTCAACAATAGGAAGTGTTTGATCCATGGCCGTGACCCCCTGGCCGGAATGTTAGAGTTGGGAATCCCCACACTGGAGGCATGGGAAAGGGAGAGGCGATGGTGAGGAGATGAGATAAGCAGGCCCCCCTTTCCAATGCTTCGATTCTGGTATTTG